TCTTAGTGGTTTAGGATGTAGGGAAGTCAGGCCATATTATATATTCCCCAACAATACAATTAAGAATTTAGTGGCGTACCTGAAAACTCGCTTTGTCAGCAATTCAATCTTCAGCGGAGTCACCAATAATCTTCAGTATCACAAGCTCCCCAGTGCAAATTCTCATTAGTATACCCAGTGATCTTTGGTACTACGATTTTCCAATGCTAGTTCTTATTGGAATCTCCGGTGATGGATAACGGTTCCCAATGAGCCTTCGTTCATCCCCATGAAGTTTATTTCTTTGCATTGCATATAGCTATCTTTGCATAACATTGCATCCTCAAAAGCACGTAGTCGATCCATCAGAATAGATCTTTGCCGCAAAAGAAGTTCAAACATGCATATGACACGAAAGACCTGAATCATTCAAAGACAACAATACATCCCTACAAGAGGATATCGCTCCCAAATCTCTAGTTGACACCCTTCGTAACATCATGATATCCAGCTAGCGGTGCTAGTGCATTGTACTTCTAAACACTCGTCTATGTTAATTTTCTAAACACACGTTTGTGCCAGCTTCCCAAACACTCATCCAAGTCAATTTTCTAAACACTCATTCGTGTCAGCTTCTCCAAACACTCGTCACTGACTATTTTCCCTCTAGACCCCAATAAAATCAGTACAGTCAGTTGTCTTTTGTACCTTCACTCATCATGTCGTAATTGATGTCTCATCGTAGAATTATGAGGTCGCCCATAGGCCTAGTTCTCAGTCAATGAGATTTAACCTTAGAACCTTGAGATCGCCCTTAGGCCATGTTCTCCCTATAGATCTTGTTTTAGAATTCTGAGGTCGTCCATAGGGGTAGTTCTTTGACAGATCGCCTTGATGTCTCATCGTAGAATTCTGGGGTCGCCTGTAGGCCTAGTTCTCTAGTAGATGAGGTTTCATCTTAGAACCTTGAGATTTCCTGTAGGCCAGGTTCTCCCTATAGATCTTGTTTTAGAATTTTTGAGGTCGTCAATAGTCCTAGTTCTTCGACAGATTGCCTTGATGTCTCATCGTAGAATTCTGAGGTCGCCCATAGGCCTAGTTCTCCAGTAGATGAGGTTTCATCTTAGAACCTTGAGATCGCCTGTAGGCCAGGTTCTCCCTATAAATCTTATTTTAGAATTTTGAGGTCGCCCATAGGCCTAGTTCTTCGATAGATCGCCATGATGTCTCATCATAGAATTCTGAGTTCGCCCATAGGCCTAGTTCTCTAGTAGATGAGGTTTCATCTTAGAACCTTGAGACTGCCAGTAGGCCAGGTTCTCCCTATAGATCTTGTTTTAGAATTCTAAAGTCACCCATAGTCCTAGTTCTTCAATAGATCACCTTGATGTTTCATCATAGAATTCTGAGGTTGCCCATAGGCCTAGTTTTCCAGTAGATGAGGTTTCATCTTAGAACCTTGAGATCGCCCGTAGTCCAGTTTCTCCCTATAGATCTTGTTTTAGAATCTGAGGTCACCCATAGGCCTAGTTCTTCGACAGATCGCCTTGAAGTCTCATTGTAGAATTATGTGGTCGCATGTAGGCCTAGTTCTCCAGTAGATGAGGTTTCATCTTAGAACCTTGAGATTGCCTGTAGGCCAGGTTCTCCCTATAGATCTTGTTTTAGAATTCTGAGGTTGCCGATAGGCCTAGTTCTTCGACAGATCTCCTTGATGTCTCATCGTAGAATTCTGAGGTCGCCCATAGGCCTAGTTCTCTAGTAGATGAGGTTTCATCTTAGAACCTTGAGATCGCCTATAGGTCAGGTTCTCCCTATAGATCTTGTTTAGAATTATGAGGTCGCCCATAGGCCTAGTTCTTCGAAAGATCGCCTTGATGTCTCATCGTAGAATCCGGAGGTCGTCCATAGGCATAATTCTCCACTATATGAGGGTCCATCTTAGAACCTTGAGATTTCCAATAGGCCGGGTTCTCTATATAATTCTTGTTTTAGAATTCTGAAGTCGCCCATAGGCCTAGTTCTTCGATAGATCGCCTTGATGTCTCATCATAGAATTTCGAGGTTGCCCATAGGCCTAGTTCTTGAGTATATGAGGTTTTATCTTAGAACCTTGAGATTTCCTGTAGTCCAGTTTCTCCCTATAGATCTTGTTTTAGAAATCTGAGGTCGCCCATAGGCCTAGTTCTTTGACAGATCGCCTTGATGTCTCATCATAAAATTTTGAGGTCGTCCATAGGCCTAGTTCTCCAGTAGACGAGGTTTCATCTTAGAACCTTGAGATCGCCCGTAGGCCAAGTTCTCCCTATAGATCTTGTTTTAAAATTCAGAGGTCGCCCATAGGCCTAGTTCTTTGACAGATCACCTTGATGTCTCATCATAGAATTCTGAGGTCGACCATAGGCCTAGTTCTCCAGTAGGTGAGGTTTCATCTTACAACCTTGAGAACTCCCATAGGCCAGGTTCTCCCTATAGATCTTGTTTTAGGATTCTGAGGTCGCTCATAGGCCCAGTTCTTCGATAGATCGCCTTGATGTCTCATCGTAGAATTCTGAGGTCCCCCATAGGCCTAGTTGTTCAGTAGATGTGCTTTCATCTTAGAACATTGAGATCACTCGTAGGCCATGTTCTCCCTATAGATCTTGTTTTAGAATTCTGAGGTCGCCCTTAGGCCTAGTTCTTTAGCAGATCGCCCATAAGCCTCTTCATGGAATTCTAATGTCGCCCATAGGCCTAATTCTCCGATAGATCGCTCTTATGTTTCACCGTAGGATCATAGGTCGCTCGTATATCTAGCTTTCCTCCGATAGATCTTCCGTAGGTCCCCCTCAGTAGATCGCCTGTAGGTCTTGCTGTAGGATCGTTCGTCGTCCGTAGATCTTATCCGCCATCTTTTCGTAACAATCTTTTTCTTGTATTGGCGTCTCTGCCACGTTACGAGACTATCTTTTCCTTGTATTGGCATCACTGCTACGTTATAAGTCTAATCTTCGTCTTGTATTGGCACCGTTACCACATTATGAGTAATCATCACCCATAAACCCTTATCACTAGGAAAAATAGAAAAATTATTTCCCCAGCAGATATCACAAAAAAAAATAACCCACTCACACTTTCTTTCAGAATAAATTTTTGGCATTGGTATTTAATCATTTTCTACCTCGAACGTCTGAAAGGCCCGCGTCAATCGTACTTTCAGGTTTAAGATGATTAAATAGGGGCAGCTGTCATACCCCAAATTTGTCTTATTCTTTCATTTTTTTCATATGGCTTGCGCATCTCGTAATCATCATGTACATACCATCCATTAGGCCATTTAACAAAATCATGCATCATTAGTCAATAAGGTTTGGTGTTAGATCGAGAAATCATGAGCTAGGGTTTGTACATGGTTTGGGGCTTCTAATCGACTCTCTTTGGATATGGATAGGGTTTGGCTCTATAATTATCATGAGTATCTTTCTTCCAACACTATGGGCTTGACTTTCATGTTAAATCCTCTCCCAACTACTAGATTTACAAGTCATGATCATTTGGGCTTTCTTTTCAAAATCTCAAGGGTTGGAATTTGGTAATTGAATGAATCAAGATGAGTACTCCTATGTTTTGTGTTCATCAATTGAGATAGAATTTTGTTAGGGACTATCGCATGGCGCACTGAGATGTCATTAGGACTATCTTTCATCAGCCAAGAAGATTCATGTGTTTGCTTGAACTGCAAGGTGTAGACCACGGTTTGAGCAAGAGATGAGGGGTGTAGATTCATCTATATCTAAATCAATAAATTAGGAACTTGTGTGTGATTTTCCAACCAATTGATGCTTCAAATGCAAGTTATTTTGAACATGGAACTTAAGATCCAAGCATGGCATATAAATTAGTCTGGATTTAATTTCTTGTGGAATTGTGAAGGTATGTCATGGCCTGAGTTCAAAGCTAAACAATTTGGAATGGCATGGTAAAAGAAGCATGAAAACCATATGGAACAATAAAGAGTTATTTTTTTTCCAACAAGATTCATTGGATTCAAATGATAGAAAGGATCATGAGTAATGCTCATTGAGCTTCCGGACTTAGAGTAAAAATTCAAGAAAATTATACCTAACTTCATTCAATTCCATTCAATCTCATTACAAAAGTACATCAATTCATCATGATATTCCATTCAGCTTAATATTGCAAGTTACAAATTGTGCATCTGCAAAACCCAAGCTCTAAGTTGCTAAGAATCATGTAACATCAAATTATGTCTTGCCATCTTAACATAAACTGTGCCTTTAAAGTTGCTTAAATTTTCCAATAACCTTGGTACCAACTTGTTGCTGCTTCACTATATCAATGTTCATATCAGACCATGGCATGCTTACACAGTATACCTTCAACTTCATGCCAAAACAGCCCTACACTTGAAGGCTAACATCATCAACAGTTTGCATCATGCCATTACACCAGTTAACAGTAATCAAAAGAGCCTCGCGTCACTTGATCATGAGCCTGCAACAATTGAACAAGAACCAAATTAATATAGTGCAACGGTCGCATTTAACCATGACACGAAATTTCAAGAAAAAAAAAGGAAGCTATCCAAGCATTAACAGAATGATTTAGTTCGTGCATTGGTGCAGTTCCAACCAGTGATATATATCAAAGTTCAAGTCACTCCAATCATGTTTCAAATTCATACATCCAAAACAGCACATCAAATACATCACAGACCTGTATCAAAACAAACCATCCAAACAACTTACATGGGTTCAATTATGGCCCTATATCATCGCAAAAATAGAAGTAAATTGGCACTAATATCCACACTAAACCGGTCCAGAAAATAAAGCATAAGCCATTCTGTTACTTACATCCATTTTTGAGCTCAAGCCAAGTTAACATTTCAAACAATTCTTAATTGCCTAGCCTTAAACCATTACCCCTATCTGGTAATGAACATTCAGTTGATTCACCTAACCAAATTGTAGCTCATCCAATAAACCTGTTTGTAATCAAAACAAAGTCCATACCATGCCATGTTCACAACAAATACAAAAGAAACCAGTTCAGCCCTGCATCAATTAATAAAACTAGTTCATAGAAAAAACCAAATCAGGAAATACACTCGCAATAGGAAATCAGAACAGAATTTTAGATTTATCTTATCCATCATTCACCAAAGACTAACATTGATATTTTCAAGTGAATTTATAATAGAAAGTTTCAACCTCTAACTAATTGTTAAGTTGATCACACACTAATTCAGTAACTAATACGCCAGCTCAGCAATAAACTAAAATAACTTATTCCAACTCCAGCTCACCCTACCAGATCAATAACTAACAGCTCAGACTAACTAACAGGAATATTAACAAAAAACCTAACCAACTAACTTTCAACTTCTCTAACAACTTTCAATCCAGCCCTCGTTCTCATAACTAATCGACGCAGATCCAAGGGCTCTCAAATACTTACTTGTAACCAACTTTAGGGGATATAATAGAAATCTCCCTCAATTGCTTCGGCTTGGATCATTTAGAGAATCACCAGAAAAATCGCAATTCTCTCCCTGCACTTCACATCTTCATCCTCTTCTCTACAACCTTCATTCTACTGCAAATCTTCATCATTCTCTCCAATCTCTCTAAACCACAACAACAACTTTAATTCTCCATCACCATCTTCTGCAATTGTTTTATTTTTTCATCATCAACGCAACAATCCCCACAGCACCTTTGATCTCTGCATCACATTAAGAACAACAACCAGCCGCTTCATCTCATATCTTCATCATTGATTCTGCGATCTTCAAAAAATGTGAATTTAACAACAATGTGCAATAATCACAAGAACCGCAATGTAGAACATGAAGAAGAAAACAAAGAGAAGAGGAAAGAAGAATTTGCATAGAGTAATGGAAAAGAGTGCTTACCAGAAGAATCTGTAACCAGTATCTCTATTTTTCTTGTAACTTCGTCGCCTCTGAAAAGCCAATAGAGCGACAGTAGCAGAAAACAAAAGAGAGGAAGAAGATTGGAGCGAGAGACGGGTAGCTGAGAAGGTTCACTTACTTGAAGATTACAGTTCACTCGAGTCTTCGATCCTCATCTTCAAGGCAACCGCGCACCGGAATTTTACAGGTAAGCTCGTTCCTCCAACGTTTTTCTAAAATCTTTGATTTAAGGTGAGATACGGAGTGTGGATTATGAACTTGGGCGACGAGATGTGAGGGATAGCGGTGGTGATTGGTGGTCTCTGGCACCTAAAGGTGGTGTTTGGCAGCGTTTGAAAGAGAGAAAACATCATATTATCTCCAAAAGAAGCTGAAAAGCCACACTATAAACCCTATTTCCACCACCAAACGCACCGTTTTGAGACTAGTTTTTCTTTCATTAGTCTTTATTATTCGATCAATCAAATAAAAGGTAAAGTTGAATGATCTTAGGCTTGGTAATGGACCAGTTTGCCTACACTTTCTTAGGCCCGTTTCTGTTTTTTTTAAGACACAAGGGAGTCACAAAAATATGGAATTGTTGTGGACTAGGCCAAACCACTTTCCCTTAAGCCTAGTGTGTTTTTATTTGAGGATTTGATGCGCACAAAAATAAGACTGGTGGTGATGTTAAATGGACCGGATTACTTGTCCATTGGGCCCTGTTGCATTTTTGGAAGCCTAATGATACTTGCTAAAAAACTAGTTATGGACTCTATGTGTTGGGCTTAGCGCCTGGATCATCTGGTTACACCCTTGGATTCTATCCTTATACCACCTTGTTTCTTTGTAATTTTCACTTTAATTTCTTAACTTTTGCAATTAATTGTTGATGATTCATTCATGATTTTTTGCTGAAATTTGGTGTGGATATTAATTTGTTGATTCCTGACTTTGTCACTTTTTTCTGGATTTTTTTATTAGCTTAGAAATTAATTGAATTAATGTTTGGTACATGATTAGAATTAGGATTTTCACGCGTTCTTGTCAATTATCTATCATTGATTCATTTTCCTTAGCATGAGGAGTGGCTTAATGGTAGGTTCTTATCCCTGAACGACGCCTTTTAATTTTTTACGTGTTTGTTCATTGTGCAAGGAACATTCTGGTGCTTTCGATCAGATGAAATAGCAAGTTTTTATGTGATCGAAGGATACAGCTTATGCTCGCTTTCGATGCGACATGTCTTATTTCTCATTGTCCTAAGAAATTCATATCATATTATATGTTGTCTAGATGCATGTGATATTTTGTGATACTTTGTGCAGGAACTTTTGATTACGCGTTGCATTCGCAACACGGGTTTGCTTTTATCTTAGTTAGATATCGTTTCAGACTTTGTTTGTTTCTTGTAGAATTTTTCTCGACGCGTACTCCCTGCTTCTCCATTGCTTTCGTTCGCTTTCGGCGATCCGCTTGCTTTTGGTAGTTGTCGCCACTGCTTTTACATTTTCTCACACTTTATCGTATTTCTTTATCGCTTTCTAGATATCATGAGAAGTAGGAACTTTACTGCTTTCTGATTCCATGAGAAGTAGGAATAGAGATGTATGACGAGGGTCTCTGTTTCTAATCATGTCAGGAACCCCTCTGGTTTATTTAAAGACCTGTTTAGGGAAATTCTGCATTATTTGCCATTGTATGCTACTTGTGTGTGGTTTGTTTAAAACCCTACCTTTGTGTAGGTATTTTCAGGTGTGTTTACATTTGTGCTCGCATATGTTATATATAATAAGTCCTCAAAACGAAGCGAGTGGAAAGGGTTAGCAATCAACCCGCGCAATTTCGTCCGTGTCATCCTTAGCTCGTGACGCACCATGACGCTTCAGAGTTGTGCCTACTCTCGTTATTGAGTCGTCAAGTGGAAAAGGGTTTTGCAATCGAACCCCACAGTTTGTCAGGAGTTCTCATTGGCTGATGCTGATACTCCGTGATTATTCATATTGCCTTCTTTCGCCTACCTCGATCTTCTATATCTTGGTTAGATGTTCAGTCGCTTTGGACATCATATTTTTGTTTTACATCCTATTCCCGCTTGTTTTCTTCGGGTGATCTGCTCCCCTTAGCTAAAGCATTTCTTTTCTTTTATATTTCACTCCCGCTTGTTTGTTTCATGTTATCCGCTCCCCTTGATTAAAGAATTTTGCTTATTTTCTTTACTATCTTATGTGTGTGCTCATTCGAACTATCTTGCTCACTTTCTTTCTATACCATGTTCCCTTAGGATGTGCTTGTTCCTTTCGGATGTAAGTTAGACCTTAGGTTTCAAACCATGTATGCTAACATTAAGAAGACATTTCCCTTTTGTTAATCAAAACCTTAGGACCACCATTGTATGATAATGTTAGGATTAGAAATAGGCTAGTCTCCCGTAGACTCTCTTCTTCCCCTTTTGCATTTGCATTTAAAACCAAAACTTTGTTTTTCTTAGCAAATCACAAAACATTTTAATCATACATAAACCCTTTTTCAAGATGACAAAATACAAACAAATCAAACACGACATCTTGCCTTGAGGGCGTAACTCAAAACCATTTTCAGGTAAGGACATGTTAATTTACTTTTGTGCCAACGCGTGAGCCTCCAAAGGTTGAGTTATGACTGAAGGCGGAATTATAATTGTTCATAAAAAAAACACAAACAAACAAAAACATATGAGTTGAACTACGGTAACTTTGATTCCTCAAAAAGGATGCGTAGGCATTAGGGTAGGGCCCAAGCGATCACAACTTTATTTTCCCTACATTATTTTCTCTTTTCTTTTGCATGCATTCTTCCTCAGTAATAAGCAGTAGACATAGATTAAACACACCCATAAGATAGATAACAAGAGTGGATACCGTAGAGTGCTATGGGCGTGTGGGGCGCTAATACCTTCTCCTCGCGTAATAGACTCCCTTATCTGATCTCTCGGTTGTAAGACCGTGACTTCTCCCTTCTCGTATTTTCTTGATGTTCTCCTTTCCCTTCATATGGGATAAAAGACGTTCGATGGCGACTTCATTGTTTAATGATTTCCAGTCGGTTGTTTCAGTATCCTTAGAAGGTAGGCTCTGAGTTTTGGCCTACGGTTATTCTACCCTCCCCATAACGTTGTTTCCTTAAGGGTATCATGAATAAAACTAGAGGGAAAGGCATAAGGGCCTCTCTTAAGTGGAGCCTCTTTGCAGACCGAAACTTTCGTCTCTAGGTCATGAAAGCTCTCGTCATGAGATTTTGGTTTAAGGGTTGTACAAAGAGTCATAGGATTCATTCCAAAGTCCTACCCCCCAAGAGGATATCTCTTGAGACGTATTCCTTTCGCAGAATTCCACCGACTCTAGGCAAAGTCGTCACGTAAACTCATAGGGTTGATGTATCCCCTTGGCTAATAGACGAACCTTATTTCTAAGGCTTTTTGAAAATAATTTTTTTGAAATAACGAAATCCCACCACAGATATAATAACATGATAAAATTAACAATAGATAAATAAACAAAAATAAATGAATAAAATAAATAAAGCAGATATTGAAAGACACCAAAACCCAAACAAAACCCTAAACCTAAGGGGAAGGCTTCTAAACCCTAGGATTGAGTCCCCAACAGAGTCGCCAGCTGTTGTAACCGGTTTTAAAATAAGAGTCGCCACCCTTAATTTTTATCCTAAGGAAGGGAATATAAAGGTTAACCCTAATTTGGACAGAGATTTTAAGTTGTTGACTCATTTTTAGACGAAGGGAAGGTGTTATGCACCCCTCATCTACCTTGTTCGCATGGATACTAGGGTTTAGAAGCGCAATCTTTAAGAAATAGGATTTTAGTTTTTTATTGGGGGAACTTGCCATGATTTTAGTCTCATGCCTACGTATCCTCTTATGAGGAATCAAAGTCTCAATTCGTAGTTCACAGTTTGTTGGTGCTTTCTATGGATTACGAAGATATTTGAATTCCCCTTGTACTTAGTCTAGGTGTGTGAATAGAGGAGTAGTTAGACAAAGTGCGCAGTCAATTAAAATATATTTGTAATCCTTTTTTGAAAATTTATTGTTGAGTTAATTTGATTAAAAAAAGAGTTTAGTATTGGTTAAATATTTTTTAATGTATTAATGTATAAAAACATCTTATTAATGCATGATAAAAAATAATTTTAATGCAATAAATAAATAAATATTGGTTTGGATGAGTTTACAAAAATAATACTTGATTTGTAAAATATATTAAAGTTTATAAATATATTAAAATATAAAATATAATTATAATG